AGAAAACAGTTCTATCTATCTAATGACTTCCCTAAACATCTCATCAGTGGATAATACCATAGGAAACTTATGGACCCTCCACCTCTAAGATGAATAAAATTTCAGCATCAATTCATCAAAAAAAAAATACCAGAGGAAACTTAACTAAAAAACGAGTAGTGTGCAAATGTGCCCTATAATGCTATAGTAGCCACTGTTCTTAAGTGTTGCATCAAGCATAACTAGTGTAATTCACCCTTGTGACATGGCTCATCCAAGTGAAGCTAATTCACCAACCCCTCTTATGAACAAAGATTATCCGACTTCCAATTCTAGTTCAAAATCTCAGCAATTCCTAATCCCTATTAACAGTTATCCTCTCAAAACTAATCTTGCATACCAGAATTTTACTGCACTGCGTACAAACTAAACCATATACATAGATAAAACCACTGCAACGAAAGTGAAGATTTTCACCGATGAAATGACAACGGAAGAAAACTGGAGGAATAAATCATACGTCATGCAGGGTTGAAGACAAGATAGCCAAACAGACCTGGATGCTGGAAACCTCTGTGCTAGATTGGCTGAATAGCGTCCTACTTGTACAGATGGTTTGCTCAATTGTTGCTACTGCTGCTGTGACGATGACAAAAAATAATGGAAACTCGAAGTCGGATAAACATGTCGATGATAAAGAAGCACATCTGTTGATTAGTGAAATCCGTTGTGATTAAAATTAGTAACTGAAGAAGAGCAGAAACCAGTGGTTCTGCAGGTAAACAGAGAGGCCAAAAGTGCAACAGGGTTCACGCTTTGTGGAAACTTGCATTCATATTTCTACAGAACTGAGCAGAGACATTGACAAGCAACACGGACAATTACAAACCCTTGGTCTGCCTCTCTCTATATCTCTCTCTCTGATCAGTCGCAACTGGCACCCTTATGCGAGCACAGGAAACACCAGATTTTCTAACCTAGAAGCTTGGATAAAGAACAATCTCCCAAAACCGGAAGCTCAAAACAAACAGAGTCAGGAAAAAACAAGAATGCGCATGACCTAACAACGCCTATAAAATATTTGGGAGCTGAGAATCCAATCTTTGCTGCAACTCCTTGATCTTCATCGAAAGCTCTGACTTCTGCTCTTTGTAATTCTGCAACAAGTATTCCTTCCCTTCTAACACTTCCTTCAATTCCCCTACTTCCCTCCTAAGCATCTCGACCTTCTCCACATCCATCCTCCCTTTCTCTGGAAACTCAAAGGTACTTTCACCATCTGAATACCCATTAGCATGCCCATTTCTTACCTCAGGTGGCCATACAGTGACAACTGACGGTTTTCCATCACCGTTTGCATGTTTCAAACAATGATCGGCAATGGCTTTTCTCAGCCTCTGGATTTCTCTCTCCGAATCTAACAAATCCTTGTTAGCAACATCAAGTTGAGACTGCAAATTATTAGAAATTCCCAATTGAGCATTGACTGAATTCTGCAACTCCACAATCTGATCCTGCATCTCAATTATCATGTCATCCCTTCTTTTTAGTTGCTGTCTCAGCTTTTGTATCACTTCGCGCTTGCTAAATATGTCCGAACCAGACTCAGACACACATGGTGAGTCAGAGCAGTTTGAATGGTGAAATGGCTTTGGCGGTAACTCGAGACGTTCAAGAGATGAAACCCACATAATCCCATTCTCTCTTGAGTATTCTGGGGCATTGACTGTGACCAAAGGGAGTGCACCATCAGTTTCAGACAGCGTGTGATCATTGGGAGGGTATTTTACATCTGTGGTACCTTCATTCCCTGTCTCGAACACAAACCACGAGACAAAGGCTGAATGAAAATATTTCAAATAAACGCACAGGTGTCAAAGCATATCAGTGATCCACATAGACGAAATAGGAAGACGTTTCTGAATATTCCTCAAAAGATATATATCATGAGAAGCAGTAGCAAATATTTTGATGCGACGCAGCATGGAATATTTTGGGTTACTTCCTCAATACAAGACCAGAACCATAAATTGAAAAATGAAAAAAAAGTTATCCATACCGGAAGCAGAATTGAAATAACTATCATCATCATGTGTAAAGGAGTAGACATTCGGATGCATATGGCAAGCTGATGATCTCCTTCTGTCAGACAATTTCTCATTTCCTGAATTGCAGAAATTCAAGGTTAAGCGGTCACAACAGAGGGAACAAATTTATAACATGCATTAACAAGAGCACGGTAGACCATTACTAGCATTTGTTTCTCTCCTAGAATCAAGAGTCTGCTTCAGCTTAGAGCCAAGGCGGATTGTCAAAGTACTCAACAAGGCACCACCTGCAATGAGAATCCAATTTGGTCCTCCACCTTCAAACCTTTGCTCCCTCTGACTCCTAGAAACCCCATTTGATCTTGGTCTCATTTTAATAATAAGTTAAGCTGCAAGGTAACTTTTCCAATCATCCAAATAAGACCTACATAAAAAAAAATGGAGCTTTCAGACTTCATTACCCAAGCAGGATACTTTCCAAAAAACAAAAACCCCAAGCAAGATATGATTGTTGATTTGTTCCGTGCATATAGAACTTTTATTACAACAGGCTGAACCAGTAAACTTAGTATCGAGCATTGTGGCCATCAGTAAATGAAGAACACTGCCAAAAGCCTTTCCAGGGCCGACCTTTCCAACAGCTTCCCCAAACATGAAAACCGAAAATGGACACTCGCCCAGAAAAAAAATATGGACGATATCAGCTGAATCGGTGACATTAGACCTTACTGAAACATCTGAATCGCAATAATCATTTTCAACGAGTGCGAACTCCTAAAGAAACGAACCAAGAGCTGCTTAATTTTTTACCCCATTAGGCGATTAATCAAACAAACAACCCAGGTTCTGCCTAATACAAATGGGGCAGGTTCCCCGGCGACTGATTTCTACTGACAGCGGAAACACATAGGATTACGGCAAGGAGTGAAATGAGTTTCGGTACCTTACACCTCCGACATTGAAACACGGCAGTGACGGCGGACTAGGCTTTGACTACTTCTGCGGCAGTGAAGGCAGTTGAAGATCGGGCGAGAACAAGGAAATGGAATGGGATGGAATGAGTCTGAAGCGTGAGTGAGACGACTTTCCAGGGCGACGGAGAGAGAGCGATGGCAGCCTGGCAGAGCGAAATTCCAGCGAGACTACGACGAATTGACGAAAAGGATGAAAGATGCCGGCTGATGGCTTGGTTTTGGGAAGGCGGCGGCGGCGCTGTGATGGCGACGTCACCGCCGGCGAGTGGAGGATGGCGACGGCGAGGGAAGGCGGGGCCAGGGAGGATGGGGAAGTGTTCGTGGCGAAAGAGTGGCTGAGTAATAAATGGAGAAGCTGCCGCAATTTGAGAAACGAACTAGGTTTTCTATTTTCTTTTACTCCTATTTCTAATTTTCTTAAATTCCTTTCTTATATTTATGCTTTGGAAAGGTTTACAAAAAGAAGACAAAATAGATAAATCATATAAATAATAACGGGTAAATGACACATTTGGTCACTGAGATTATTAAATTGTGTCATGTTTAGTCACTAGAAAAAATTAATATCAATTTTGGTCACTCGAATTACCGAAACTGGTCAAATTTAGTCACTCTCCCGTCAGTTTCCGTCCAACTCCATTAATGTAGTTGAACGGAAACTTTTGGGAGAGTGACTAAATGTGACATGTTTCAGTAATACGAGTGACTAAATGTGACATTTTTCAATAATTCGAGTGACCGGAGTTGGACAGAGGCTACAGAAGAGTGACCAAATGTGACCTGTGTCAGTAATTCGAGTGACCAAAATTGATATTAAATTTTTCTAGTGACTAAATATGACACGATTTAGTAATCTCGGTGACCAAATGTGTCATTTACCCAAATAATAACGGTATTGAATCTGGCATCCGTATTCCGCAGTCGTTTGTTTTTTTGGCTAAATCATTTGTCCCCGTCTCCCCGTCAATAGCGATAGCAATGAGGCGGATTAGGGGATGGGTTTGCCTATACCATTCTCATCCGCTCTTTTAAAATCTGTCTCATATTCGCCTTATACCCATGCGCAATGGTGGATCCAGTGGATGGCTATCTGATCTCGAGCCACAGAATGTGGTCTAGTATAACACTTAAAAAATTTGATTTTAGTCATTCGGTTCATATCAACATATTCAAATCACTACTCAAAACCTATAGTTGTATAAATAGTATCAAGAGAACAAGCACGCAGGAAAAAGATAACCATTAGCATTGAAGTCAATCACCACCTATATCATACATACGAAAGCGAGAGTGGGGCACTAGAACTTGGTTCCCCAACCTCAACGATCCTATCCAGCTCTCACACTCAAAATAAGAAAAGAGGAATTCTGACCTTAAAGTCTTCGATTAGTATTAGTGAACGCTCGCTCGACTTGCTTACTAATATAATAATTTTACTTGTGAATTTAGAGAAATAAATTGAGAGAAATTCTAGCCCTAATGATTTTCCTATGAGCAAAATAAACAATAAACCTAAAAGTTTAAAACGTAAAAGACTACAAAAAAATATGAGGTTTGTTTCGTTGCAAATTATTAGAGAATCTGGTGGAAATAGGGATGGACGTACACTACAAATTGATTCGTCTATGTTGACATTGCCTTTTACAATAACTACTACGAGAAACTTTTTCAACAATAAAACATGTGAAATTGATTAGTGCAACAAAATGAGTTGCAGCAAATGCACCCAACTTGCACCTCCTGCGAATATCAAAACCTTGCATATGAATGAGCTTTCCATTTCATATCACATTTCTTATTCTCCAATTATCGATTTAATCAAGGTTTGGGTAGTCGAAAACTCTAACGACAATAAGATTTGAACATATTGATCATGTAACTACATTTTCGACGCAAACTAAAAATTAGTTAAGAGCTCTCCACAACTCATCGATGCTCCAAGGACTTCTAAATCGAGTATGCTTCTGGTTTTGCAAGCAGTTTCATAAGATCAGTTTTGCTTGTCTATATTTTTTTATCAATTCGAATGATTAAAACCAATGTCTAGGTGCAAATTTATACAAGATCAAGCATGTAATAAAACTGTACAAGTTCCGCCACCGAATCCAACCCCAGTTTGGGTCGAAATTCAAGGTATGGGTGGTCTCTGTTTCGTATCAACTCAAGGCCGCAACCATTCTCCATGGCAGGCTCTACCTATCAGTGAACCAGAAAAAGAAATGAGGAAGCTTCACCAGTAAACCCAACTGCCTCTCTTCTGTTATCAACTGTTACTTTGCTGCTACCCTACTTTTTACCCAACCTTTACTTTCTCATTCCCTATACTCCCCAAGGAACATCTGTCATGACTATGAACACTAGAAACAAAATGGTCAATCAGCAAAACGCCATCTGATGCTTTCCTCCTAAGCGGATTCATATCGAGAATGCAGAGCGCACTTCACCACCTCGTAGAACGCGACCACAATGCCAACGTTCTCATTCCTCCATCCTGTTCATCCATATGAAGCATGATTAGTAACAAGTTACTGCTACCAAGGCCAAGATAAAGGCTCCATGAATTTAGAATGGGAAGTTACCTCCAAATCTCCATTAGCGTTCGCCGAGTTGTCATACTTAGTGCCCTTACAGGATCCATCTGGAAGTCGAGACAACAAGAAAAAGATAACTTATTTTACTGTCAAATCTGAGAAACTACACAATGTAAGCCTCTACTCTGTTGAATCATGAAAACCTTGGAAGATAGCACACTAACCTCTATCTGCCTTCGAGTTTTAGCAACATCCAGGGGACACGTTGCAGCTGCACCAACACTTCCTTCGATGAAACCAGCGGAGAAGTTGGCTCCATGTACACTGGCCACATTCGCGTCATCTCCAACCACACTCAGAAGATTTATCCTCATCTGTGAGGCCAAACGAACGGAAGGGAAGTCAAAAAAGATTTCCCAGCCAAACATACATAAAGGTTAATCACAATCAATTAGCGAAAAACTACTACTAACACGTTCTTTATACGAAAAGGAAAAGGAGATGTGCTCACAGGCTCAAGTAGTGCCGAACAAATTCCAGAAAATGGAACGTCAAGGGCAAGCTGTGCTCCCATGCCTGTCCACAGTAGCCGGTAACCTCTCCCTATTGCAAGAGAGCATGTCAATTAAAATCATATAACTTCCCATCCACCAGACACTATTCTTTTACAGTGAATTAAAACCATATAACTTTCAAATCAATAGAAGCTTAAAAATTCAACAAAATCCTACTCACAATTAGTTTGAGGGTTATCCGTGCCTTGCACATGAGTAAGGGCTTCAAGTAGAGTATTCAGAACTCCAGGAGCTTTCATACCATGTTGTGTACCCTTGAATGCCTATGATTTGAATCAAAGAAAACAATAAGAGAAAAGCCATGAACGTCCCAGCTAGGAAAACCAAAAGGGAAGTGAGTGAGAGACAGAAAGAGAGCCATTAGATAGAGGGGATCAAAGGAACCAAACTTCACTGCTGGATATAACGCAACCAAAACAGAGTCTTAAAATACCTGCATGCGAGTTCTGGCAAGTTCAACAGGATAGCAAGTCATACAAGCTAATGAAGGTGACAGTGAGCCAGCTACCAAGGGAGCATATGGGGCTGCAGCAGGAATACTCTCAGAGGTTTTTTCCTCGAGCCAGATGCGGAATACATCATATAAGAGTAAGTAAATGCCGACCTGCAAAAAACAGGATGTGAACCACCATAAGCTTAAAGCTACACTTCCAAGAGTGCCAACATCCAAAAAAACAAAGCATTTGTCATACTTGCACTGATCAGGAGAAACTTACAGTTGGGACAGCTAGAGGAAGAGCCGCATTTGTGCCCTTCCACAGCCTGGCAAACCCTACCTGCAAGTATCACCTTTTTTGTTCAACAATTGGTGTTCGATCAATATAAAAAAAAAAAACAAATGCAAGAATGGATAAACACACACCACTTTCACATCATTGAATGCAAATAGTAACACCGATGACACACCTGTCTTACCATCTTGTTGAAGACATAGAAGGTTCCTTTGTACCGAAAACAATCAGGAGGCCACATGGACAGTGTCCCGTGAAGTCCAGCACGCTTACAAGATGGTGAGCATCTAAGATCAGCAAACAACTGCCAAACAAGGCTGAATGTCACTCAATGGAGCATTCTGAACAAGAAATTATGATTGACAGAAGCAATTGGAGCAAAAAAGTAGAAGATATATCTACCATGGTTGGACCAAAGTAAGCCATGCAATTTACAACATTACTAAGTGGATGAGAGTAAGCAACTCCAGCTGGCTGTGCTTGCAGCCTCGTCTTTTCAATGGAACAATAAGAAAGCCCCCATCAATGCAATCAACTCCTGTATTCTTCCAAACTATCTCCATGTAAAACTATTATGCTATATGAAACGAAATCCCCAAATCAAGAAAACCCACCAAGAAGCATCAATCGCAACGAAAAAACCAGAAAACACACAACCCACATAGCAAGAGGCTCAACCCGCCAATCCACAATATGAAGGATCAAAGATGTCGCAATTCTCCCCGGAAATCATTTTCCAATCTCAAGAACACGAAGAACCAAACAAGTCGTCGCATGTCGACGCCGTTATTCACAACACCAAGAGGGTTTACTATAATCGACGATAGGATAGGAAAGCGGCCCCTGCCGCAGACAGGGCTCTCTCGCCAAGTCCTAAACTATCGTCGCCTTCACCGGTGTTGGTCTGATACCCTGCTGAGCCGAGAAGTTCCAAGGCCGCACGCCGTCGCCGGCGATCACCATTGGCTCCCTCTGCAATTCCAGAGCTGCTGTGATTCGGGGAATGGGGATCGGCTCTGCGTTCACCTATGGGTTCCGGCACCCCTCTACCTCGGAGCCCTTCGATAGCCAAAGAATCAAAGAAACGGCCTAACCAGTTGCGGGAAGGAGAAAGAAGGTTTCCACAGCAACAAAATACAAAACCCTACCCAAGCAACAATTCCAGATGACAAAGATGATTACCTCTCGGTTGCGAAAGAAGGTGGACCTACTGGCCGTCTCCTTGATTCCCGGCTGGAGCGGCCGCATTCTGCCCCTGAGGTGCTGCTGCTGGGTGGTACCCATGGTGCACTTTTTCGGTACCGATGTACCTCGAGATCGGCCACCGACTCAAAGACAAAGAAGCACTTACTACAAACATTGCCTCTGGGATGTACTCGTTTGTGATGATCTTCAATCACTTTCTTTTTCTCAAACCGCACTGGCAGAGGTTGCAATGGTAGCCGTCTGCCCATTCCATGGAATTGCGTTCACCGGCGACCGGATGATGTGAGACTTAACGGATTACGGGAAGCCGGAGTGATAACTGCGATTTGGGAAGGTAATGTGGGAATAGAACTAGGCAACTACGCGATTATGTGATAACTGCGATGTGGGAAGGTAATGTGGGATTACTAGAACTCTACAATTAAAGTTCATTATCAACTAGCTTTCTTCCCGGCCGTTGGCCGGGTCGGTTACTTTTCTTATTACGAGGTTTTAGTGCCCGCGCTTTGCGCTGGGATGTGTGGGATTGTCAACATAATTTTAGGCAAAAATGTGTCTATGTTACCTGACTATTAGCTGAGCTTAATGGGTTAGTACGATTTTAGTGGTGAATGAAGTTGTATTCTCAGCGATATATGATTTTCACATTTTTATTTTCATATTCACATAACTATAGTAGATTGTGTTATTTTCTTTGTATTTCAGAGTCTACATCAATGTATGTTTTCCCAAGCAGTCTTCATAAGTTAATCTAACAGAGAATGCTGTACCTGAAAATGGTTTTATATTGGTTAGAAATAGTGCAATTTTAGTCATGGTTCGATCTAGCTGTTTTTTAATAAGTAGAGACAGTAAACTTGAGTGTGATTCGATTAGTGAAAGGCACCATGGAGACTTAATTGATCCATTCCCAATTTCCCATAATGAACTAAGTTTGGCTGACAATTCAAGAGATTTACATGTCGTTGATTGGCCCAAGGGAAAGTGCAAAGCAGTATTGTTCTCTTCCAGATCGCGACAGTGAAATATAATACTGGTTGGAAAAATAATGTGGATTCATATGCCTTATGGGCTTCCAACTTCGGCCCATTTGTGGCCATCGATATGTTTAGATCCCAGGGCTGATAAGTGAACGGCGGCAGGCTTGGCGTTTACAACAAACACAATTTTGTTGAGAGTTGCAATTCAATGGATCAAAAGAGTTTTCTCAAACTTAATTTAATTAACTTCTGAAGAACATGAAGAACATCAAAGCTGTTCCCAGAATTTAAGATGGTGCTATATTTTCATCTTGTTTTCTTTTTACATCCAAACCTGTATAGCCGGCGGCGCAAGTAGGAGGTGCTGGCGGACTGGAACTACCCACCACCGCCTCTATTTCAAATATGCTGATTCAAGCCTGCATTATACGAAACTTGAATTAATTAAAAGGTCATATAATGCTGTAAATCTATTGTCCTATGATCTAACTGGAAATCGTATCTAATGAATTCTAACAGGTTATCTAACATATTGATATATGCTTACCTTGTGAATTCAATTTGTGCTAATATCCGTGAAGGCTTCTGAGAACACAATGTTTCTTGTATAATTATCTGGCATGTCCTCCTCATTTATGATAAGAAATCTTAGACCAGCTGCAGATCTGACTCTGGATGCAGCAACGTATAGTTGACCATGACTGAACACTGGTTTAGGTAGATAAACTCCAACTTTGTCAAGTGTTTGACCTTGACTTTTGTTTATGGTCATTCCATAACATAAGCGTACTGGAAATTGTCTCCTTTTCAGCACAAACGGCCACCTCTTGTCTTCAATGTTGAGCACAATTCGTGGTAATCGCCACAGGTTTTGTATCAAATGATCCTCCCATAATGTGTCCTATGATTGTATTCTCACCGAGTGATGTTATCAATTATTCTTGTTCCGTGCATAATCCACTTGGTGGACTTAAATTTCTGAGCAACATTATTGGAGCATGAACCTTGAGCCTTATCTCGTGATCCGGGACCCCATTGAATGTCAATGTATTGAGAAACTCAGGAGGGTATGTTTCACTGAACGATTCTGGCACCTCTGTATCAAGTTGCATTGAATTTGCACTAAAGTAGGAATGACTTAGTCCAGGCAACTTTTGTAACATGAAATCATTGATTTCAGTGACAACAATATTTGTCGGTGTCACAATTGCTCTACTCTTGAGATATTTTGTTGTCCTTGTAATTCTCCTCAAATGAGTTATATATGTCTGTTGTTATTGATTGAACTGGATTGTTTCCAGGAGCAATCAAGAACATCCTTGGTATTTCAATCCAATCTGAGGGGGCATTGGGTACTAAACACTTTGTAGGCAACTTTCCATCTCCAAGAGCTAGTATCCACTGTCCAAAATTCTGGCCACTACCTATCATCATTCTGTTTTCAAGGGATTCATTGAGTCTCATGTTTTCTTTCTAGTTTCAGCACTGTAAAAGCAGGCCATAACACTGATCTAGTTATTGATCCATCAACTGTTTGTTCTCTTCCAGATTCTGTGATGACTGGCAAAGTCTGTCTGAAATCTCCACCAAAAATAACTGTTTTACCACCAAATAACTTATGGCCTGCTCCCACTAAAGGTACATTCATCAGATCACAGAATGTCCTACTGATTGCTTCAAATGCATGCCTGTGAGTCATCGGCGCCTCGTCCCAAACTATCAATGAAGCTTCACGTATGAGTTCAGCTAAGTGAGTTCCCTTTTTGATCGAACAGGTTGATGTGTTGTCTACATGAAGAGGTATTTTGAATCTTGAGTGAGCAGTGGTACCATTCGGCAAGAGAGTTGCTGCGATTCCAGATGAGGCAACAATAATTGCTATTTTTGACAAACTTTTTAGTTTTGCAATGATGGCATTATACAGGAATGTCTTACCTGTTCCTCCGTGGCCATATAAGAAATATGATTTCCAAGATTGTTGTTGATTGATAGCATAACAGCTGAGAAAGCTTCAAACTGTTGTACATTGAGAGAATGCAGCATCGTGTCCTGCTAGCTGTTTTCGTTATCAACATCAAAGTCTAGATGCTGATTAATAAGGGGGTTTGATCCATCATCCGATTCTGAATCTGTTGGTCTTGGAAGGTGGAATTGTTCCAATGACGAACCATGAGATCCCAGCAAACTCTCCAGCTGATGAAGAACCCAATTTTTGCAGCCTCTCATCTGTGGGCTGATATGTTGTTGAATGGAGCTGTTTTCGAAGGGAATATGCATGATCTTCACTCATTAATTTCCATGATGACTCAAACAAAGCACATGGATTAGGTACCTCACAAAACATAAGCATTGAAACAAAAGGTTGTTCTTATCACGTGTGGCATGCTTGAAGCTGAGATTTCTTGGAGGACTTTTATATCCACTCTGAAGAGTCAGAGAGCAGACCTAATTTCTCACATGCTTTCTCATAAGTGCTGCAAATCTCTCCTCTCACAGTTCTCAAAGCAAGAAAACTCATGGCTCCGTGCACTTTGTCAATAACACCTGAGAAAGAATACATCGCTGCTGCCCGGAGGAACATATGCAATTCTTCCTATAGCAAACCCTCTTTTTCTTGGAGTCCACTCATTGTATTCTTCATTCCATGTATATGAACCTGGTATTTGAGCATATGTAAGCTTTCTCGCATCAGGGTCATGGCTATTCAGTTCAAACCAAGCAGTTAGATGAGTTTTTTCCAGCTTTTGGATTCTTTAGAACATTTCTAACATTTGACTGTCTTCGATATGATACATTTTGCTGTCCAGGTAGGTGTACAGCAAGGCGAACAACGTTTGGTTCCCTGTGGTGAATAGGGTACTCGTTAATCCTCCATACAGCCTCATAAGAAGATAGTGATCTGCAATCAATGAATTCCTGTATTTCATCCTTTGTTTTCTTTGGATTTGTGGATGGAACTTGTGCTGAAGTAGTCGAATCCTCGGCAATGATGAGAGATCTGTCCGGTCCCTTAGTGATATACTTAAACAAATACTTCACTAATCCCCCTTTATGACATACTTCGACATTAATATGAGCTTGAGCTCTGACTAATAAGTTCCGGTTGTATGGAACAACGTACCTATTATCCACCATTGTTTTCCCTTTCTGTACTTGAATTCCTGAATCTCTGCGTCGATACACCACATTCCCGAACTTATCAAAGGCGGTTTCTGAGCAGAATTCTTTGGGGAAGTGCTTTGAACATTTTCCGTCTTTCATACAGGGTGCATTCGGGTTGTCAATGCCACAGGGTCCATGAATCATGAACTTGACAACAGCTGCATGCCCCTCTGGATCTAGGTGAGGATCAGGGATTTCTGCTGAAATCATTTCGTCTATATCGCTTGTTGTCTTTAGTTTGTCTTCTGCTGCCAACCATATAAGCATGTGCACATGTGGGAGCCCTCTCTTCTGGAATTCTACTGTGTATATTACTGCTGCACAAAAAAATGGTCATTTATTTGAACTTGACAGCTTATAATGCAACCAGAAAAGAGTTCTCAGAGCACGTACTTGCTATAGTTTTGCCAAAGTATCCTTCTCTTTTGATTTCATCAATGAGCATGTTGAGTTTCATATGAAAGACTCGACAAACTACCATTGGTTTTAGCTCATTGCTTGTGCCCACGATATCGGAAAAGGCTTCTGTGATTTCTTCCCAAAGAGCGTTACATGTAAATGTAACAAACAAATCTGGATTTCCATAATATTGGCAGGTTGCCATTGCATCGTGATAGAGTTGTTGCATATATCTTGGGCCTCCTGTATACGAAGAAGGTATTATAATTCGGCCAATTTTTTCACCGTCTAAATCTCCTTTTGCAAATGCATCTTCCAATCCTTGATACACTTCAGCCCTCAAGTCTTTTTGATGTGTCCTCAAGAATGCCAACCGATTGAGCTCGATTGTTGAAAATGCATCAACGCAATAGTGCTGCAGCGCCTTCCCACTTTGGATCAGTGTATGTCCCTCATTTGTTCGATACTGAAGTCTGTAAGCGTAGTATTCTCTTTGTGTGACGAACTTTCTTCTCATTGATGGTGGACAAAAAACACTGTTATATGGAATTTGAGGATGAAATCCATCCTCCCCATATGGGAAAAGTAAAGGAAGTGCAGCGCCTCAAACTTTGGATTAAGACTTGTAATACGTTTCAATCCTTCACCTTGATGGTCCACAATGATGTCTCGGTCCTCCCTATCTGGCACAAAATCACCTGGTATCAATGCTGCAATGTCACTGCTTGTCGGTAAGTCGTACTGTCTATTTCTGCTTTTGATTCCAAATATTCGAAGTCGAAGGTTTGGTGTTGAGGATAACTGCAGATTTTGTCGAATACGCCTAAACGTCTTCACCAATTCATTCGTTTCATCAAGCATTCTGAGCAAAGCAGGAAGTAATTCAGGCAAGAGCACTT